CATTCTAATAATACTCACACCTTATGAAACTGTTCTGGACAGGCATGAAAATGTTTGTCAAACTAACTATAACCTGCTACAACGTCAAGGAAGCAATTATGTCCATGTGTCCACAGTGCTCAGTAATTGAAGCTAGTATACCGCATCACATGAGGGAACAATATATGTCTTTGTTTCCAGCATTTGAAATAGATTACAAATGCAAAGAATCTCTTGAAAATTCATCAGTTCGAGGCACGAAACCCCGTATTATTGTCATCTGTAATGGTGAATGATAGTGGTAGTCGCGTCGATCATTATATCTGAAGGCTAGATAGACAAATATATCAAAATATCTGCCCCAGTCTATTGATCAAATGGAAGACTAGTTCATGTATCTTGCTATATACTTCAACAGTCATTTGCAATCGTGTTTCATACAATAGTTTATAATTATCAGATGTTGTCCGATTTGCGACATCCCATCTTCTTTTATAATGCTTTACAAGTCTTGACCATTCTCTCATTCTACAAAAAGACTCAACTTAGCGAAATAAAAGTTTGAATTTTTGCTTAAAAATATTCTTGCAGCTGTCACCTTTTGTATCAACTCAACCAAATATGCAAAAAATTTGAATGTAGAGACTTTCAACATCATTGATTCAAATGTGTACATCAGCTTTTTTTGACTTGGTTTTTCTCTCTGACAGAGATAACGGAAAGTCGACAAATTATTTTACTTGTGATTAAAGAATATTGAGTAACATTTCATGAATTTATCACTAGAGATCAAACCTTCAAGGTCGATCGAAAGAAAGCTGCTCATTGCATTCGCAAGAATGCAATATAATCGTATAAAATGAGTAAATGAAAAAAATCACCATTCATTATCAGATGAATCCTCCATAGTCATGTTTGTTTAGATCAGAACCAGTATTATAGCACTAATTAGAAATATCGAATACAGTCGCAGAAAATCAAGCAATAGGGATTCATTTTAAAGTTTTTTTTTCATAGGTTCAAGTCATACAATCCAAAGGTGTTTATCATGAAAGTTTTCCATACAGAATCGCATACAAAAGAAACTATTCGAACTCTTTAAAGTAAATAGCCGAGAGAGATGCAGTGATCTTTTCATGTTCAGGAACAAGTATTGATTTGAACTTTTCGATTATTAGTGCGTTAGTACTTATGCATCAAGTCTTCGCACTTTTCGAGCTTTTTAAAAGCAGTATGTGACCAGTACGATATTGTCACTGACTATCAGACACCAATTCAAGTTCATAATATTTGATCAAAATTATAATAAAAGTTAATGTCAGTGGAAGGAGAAGCGCGTCCCGTCAACATAAAAGGGTCATCACACCAAAGTCTAACATATTTATCACGCAGTTCTAAACAACTAGTCTTTTATTTATTATGAATAGACATGATAGCCGCCGACTTTTCGCCGCCACCGCCGATAAAATTTCGACCCGCCACCGCCGAAGGTGGCGTTTCGGCGAGAATTTTTTCGCCGCCGTCAATCAAGTTTGGAGTTAGAACAATAGGGTCAAAAGCGTATAAATAAACGCTTCGCATTACAGTTCCATTCACACGAATAACACTATTGCTATCATTGTATTGTATCTGATAAGCGAAGAAATACATACCTATCCACTAGGATGACGCATTATGTTCGAGATGTTCACATCAAACTTCGTCCTTTCAAGGCCAATCAATCTCTTGCGTGGTCACATTTCGGTCATCTTACATCATCAGTTACGAAAGAAGTGATTGATAACAAGAATATTTATTGCAAGGTTTGCTATGACAAACAACTCGTCGAGCATCCTGATGTCCTCTTGTCATCATCATTAATACAGAAACAACTTATTCGTTACACCGAAAACGTGAGGACTGGAAACATGCTTTTACATCTTTCTATGAAACCCATGTGAGAAAAGGGAGATAACGATATGTTTCTATGAAAACAGAAAGTGTAATGTTTGTAACAAAGGTTGGAATCAACAAAAGACTTGGTAAAATGACTTTCCAAAAATTTCACCGCCGCCGCCGAAGATGCCTTCCTCGGCGTCATTTGTCCGCCGCCGCCGCCGCCGATTAAAAGATCGGCTAACATGTCTAATTATGAAATGGTTGGTTTCTACAATAACTAAGAATATATCACAACAAAAGCACGAATAATGTTCAGTTATTAGCAAGTTAATTTATATATATAGATAGATAGTTAAAAGTAGTGCTAAAACATCTGTTTCATACCTAAAACAGAAGAAAGAAAAGTATTGCCAATTATCGATCAGTTCAGTTTTAAACTATATACTTCGAATGTTATTGATGTAGTATAATGAACATGACTACTATATTAAATAGTTAAGATAATCGATGGGATAGAAATCCAACATTAATCAAATATTCAATTGATTTCATTAAATCTTCTTCTGTTACTTCGAACCAATTCAAATTACATTTCTGCTCGAGAAATTGTTTAGTCAGTTCTACTCGAACACCGGATTTTTCTGGTTGAACATGTCCACTTGTAAATATCATTGAAGCAATTTGGTCTCTCATTCGCCATGCTAGACTACTCTCAGACAGATTTTTCAATACATATTGTTTCCAATTGTTCTGTTCGATTTTTTTCTTTATGACACCAGGTAATCGTTGAATAAGTGCATTATGTAGATATGAAATACGCAATCCATTTCCATAGAAATTAAAACAATATCCACTACTATCAGGATGCATAGCTAAAGCAACGATGGCCGTGGAACAATAATCTACTGGTACAGAATGCAATTGTAAATCAGCATTTTCAACCATACATCCCATTTCAACTTCGGCAAGTAGAAGCAAATTGATGAAATCGAAAAGATTGCTATAACCTGTTCGAGTATCAGCTGATATCGTACAAGGCCGAATAACGATAATATCGGCACCCAAATTTGAAGCAGTATGTAATAATTGCTCAACAACAGCCTTTGATTGTCCATAGCCGTCTTTAAGATTCATATCATTCGATGTTAATGTTATCCATCCATTTGAATCTTCTTTAAAATCGATCGTGGCAGGCAATGAAGCTGTAGAACTTGTGTAAACAAGTCGAGCATTCGATTTTACTGCAAATTCCAAACAATTCAATGTACCAAACACGTTCGATTCTTTCAAAGCCTTATAGGGTACTTGTAAATTAACAATGGATGCATTATGATAAATCAA